GTCATAAAAAAAAATTAGTGAAAAAAACCAAGGATCTTCCTTCCTCTTTGGTTATCTTTATTTTCTCTCCTGGTTTCAGTTTGTGGTACCTTTACAAATGGTAGACAATTAAAATAAATAGCATTAAGCATGAAATTTATCTAAGTGAAGAAAAAATCACCTTGTCATACAATTTAGGTTACTATTAAATTGCAGATAGAACCACTTAACCCCTTGAAAGAAAATAAGATATTTAAAGAATCTTTCAGCTCGATGAATGATTAATACTTTGCGGAAGTTTTATGACACTTAGTCTAATCTAAAGCTTGGGCACGTATTTAGTCAATCTAACAAACATTTAGAACAAAAAAGTATGCTCTACCAGCAGATTTCAGCAAAGAACGTTCCTCTTTGGAATTGATAAAAACATTGTAATCATATTAGATAAAAGAGTATTCTTGAAATAGTGTCAGCAACAGAGCCGTATAAGTTTTGTCGAGCTGGAAATTAATTGTGGGTGACTGATGAGCGTAGGGAAAGTTTATCACCTGAGCCTCACAAGTATTATCTGGAATTAGAGCGGAAGCTGGGTAGTGTCTCCAAAGACAGATATCTTCTGTCTCTGGCTTTCCTAGTTTAGAAATTTCTTGAAGAAGGCTAACGGACTCAAAGTGTTTTTCGATTTTTAATCTCTTTGTTTTATTTTACTGAGTTTACTTTTTTTAAATATATATGTTTTGGGTGTAGTTCTCTGCTGCGGTTGCAAAAACTTTACTGGAAATAACAAGTGCTTTTGCATGGCCTCTCTTGTTTTTTTAGTCTTTTTCTTATTGCTATAAGTCTCACCTAAGCTCGTCAATTTTATTGACAAAAGTTATACAAGAAACAATAATGGGAAAAAAGTGTGAATTTATATCAAGATTAGCTATATTAAACTGATATAAAAATTTTACGGAACAATTATCTTTAGTGCCAATAGGATAGAATCAGTACCTAGTTTTTACAAATAAACTAACACTTCATTTGTCTGGAGTCCGCATCCAGATTGCTGATTGATTTGACCACCTTTTGTCTCTCGGAGTTATGGGTCATCAGTTTTTCTAGATTCTTTTTGCTGCCCTTAATTTTTCGGAAATTGTGAAATTTTAAAAAAAATCTCAACTTTTAAAACTTTATTCAAATATTGTCATTAGCAGAGTTAATCCTTGCATGGTGAAAATTTTCGTTCTCTAATTTTAGAATTTGAGCATCCCGCCTTCAGCTTTTTTAAGACACAAAAAAACTTAAAAACTGGATTTAAATAAAAGTATGCAAAATGGGTTAGAACAGCTAATACAGCCTTTTAATTGCAGATCTCGATATTATTTTGTCTGTAAGCTAGAAAAAAAAATTCTCGGCACAGAATCCATTTTTTGTAATTTTTTAATCATAAATGCAACAGTTGTAATCCGCATCATGAACAAAACAGTTTGAATGTGATATCAATTTTGACACTTGACTAAAAGGGACAAATGCTTCCCTAAAGCCTCTTTTGTTTCTTTAGTAAATTATCCTTTTGCTATAGACCTCACCTAAAATCGTCACATTTATTGAGATCATTTACAGTAGAAACAAAAGTTAGAAAAGACTTTGAAATTGTTTAGGGTTCATTAAATCAGAAAAAATTAAAAATTCAATGAACAACCGTCTTTAATACCAGTAGGGATGAGATCAATATCTAGCTTTTAGGTTGAACTTACACTTCTTTTGCCTGTTGTCTGCGTCTAGATTGCTGATTGATTTGTCCGCCCTTTGTCTCTTGGTGTATTGGATCATCAAGTTTTCTAGATCCGTGTTGCCGCTTTCGATCTGTCGAAACATAAAAATTTTCTTGGATCTTTGTACCAAAGAACGAAGTAAAACAAAAGAAAAAATAAAACAAAATAAAGAAATAAGAAAAATTAGGAAAATAATAACTCCACTGAGCGAGAAAAATTAAGTGTTGGATAAAAAAAACTTTGAAAATTTTCGACCGGTCCAATCTGAATGCAAGAATGCGTCAAAGTACCTGTGTGTTTCTTATCTTCATAGGCTTTGTTTCATCGAGTATCTGTTTCATCTTCCGTTTTTGCAACGTTTTCAGTAGTCTCATTTTTGTAGTTTCTACAATTTATAAAGACTTCAATCATTCATTCTTTGACTTTGCAGGTGTTATATCTCTATGTGTCTTTGTTAGGATTTAAAAAAATTAGGTTCTTATTGCTTTTTTGTCAATTTTTTAAGGCAGAACGTTTTAACCGGTCAGCCTGTATGGCGACACACTTTCTTTTTGATATCTGAGAAAAAATTTGTGAAAAAAATTGGATATTTTAAAAAAAATTCTTTTTTAAATGAATGAAAATATGGGACTTGTATTCAAAGATTTGACAAATTTAAACTGGCAAGGATACCACTCTATTCTTAAGTAAGTAAATAAAACAATAGTCTTTTATGTCCGTGTTGTTTTTGCAATACTGCAACGCGTCACGAATTTTCCTTGGGGTAGACAAAACTTAAGCTAAAATTTAGACTCTAACTCATACTTCTTTTCAACTCGTCGAAAGTGTTCAAAACAAACAGGTGCCTATAGAAGATGAAGCAACTTTTTTTGTGAAAAGTGAGCTCGAACCAAAATTATCATGAATTTATAAAAAAAAATATCATGAATTTATTGATAAAGATATTATTTTTCGCCCAAATTTGTGTCATGAAATAATGACATAGGTCAATAAAATCAAAACTAGTTTTTGTCGGCACTGTGATCTATTTTTTAAAGGTTTAAAAATTCGAATAATTAAAAAAGATCTCTATAAATAGAAATCCGGATCCCTATAAAAAATTTGATATCACACATGATCCCCAAAGCTTTCCTCGAGATAGTGAAAACTGGCTAAGTTTTTTTTCCAAAAAATGGACCAACATCTATGGTCCTTTCCCATTCGTCGGAGCAAGAAAGCGTCGAAAGAAGCCAAAGGAAAGTTTGTGAAAAAAATCGAGTGGCAGTTTCATAATTGCAGCTCACAACTGGGTATTTTAAATCGCACTAATTTTTTTTCTGGATTGCTCCAGTTTTTCTTCTACACACAAGTATCATTCAGCCAAACTCCGAGTCAATCAAATCGATAGAATTGAGAAAATTGTAGCCATAATAATTTTCTACAACTGTCTTGACATATTATGTGTATTCCAAATTAATACAGGTATATTTTTGATGAGCGGCAAAAAATAGCTTGAAGGGTGAGTTTTTTTAATTGATTATTCACTCAAATCCCGCCTGTTCCTTTTATTCCACTCGTTCCATAATGTTGACAGAAAAACTGTTTTTTAATGAGATGAAGTAAAGCTTGGGCAGTTTTTCTATATCTAAGAAGAAAAAGTTATTGTTACTTTGGCGCTTGGGCGGGACGTCGAAATTGTGAGGTGATTGTTTTGGACACAGCGAGCGGGCTCCAGCTCCTGGCAATGCGTCCTCTGTCACCTCCGCCCACAGATTTCTTCTAGTCTACGAGGTTAACCAGCCCATCTATCTGAAACTTTTCAAATACACCTTCACTGAAACTCAACAGGTTGCGAGTAGAAAAAAGTTTTCAGAAAAATGGAATGGTAATCCACCAAAAAATAATATCAGTGTGTAATCAATTTGAAGCTCAACTTGAAAAAGTGGCTAGCAATTTATATCAGCCTCCATAACAAAGTACAGAAACATACATCTTTGAAGAGACTTTTGAGACTAGATCTTATTGAAGCGTGGACTTCATTGTTATGTTCCTTTTGTCTAAATCCAGCTCAGCTATTGTAACCGTCGTCCCATTATCACCAATTACCATTTCTGAAAAATTTGGCTGCAAAATTTTACTGTAAGCTCCGTTGCGACTCATTTATTTAAAGTTACAATATTCCGATCAAATAAGAAGAAGGATGTGGTCTTTGGGAATTTGCATTGTTCATGAGGCAAATCTCAATTTAATCTCCACGACGACTGCTTCCCAAGAGTTCCTCTCAATCAAAAATCTTGTTTTTTGTTTTTTTTTTCGTTTGAGAAAAATAATCAGAATAAATAAGGCTTTAAATGGATGCCATACTTGAGACTTTACGCTTTTTGACGACCCCACGCCCCCCCCCCCCCCCCCACTTAGCTTTCTCCGCGATAGTCAAACTTGGTCAGAACTAATACATAAACGATACAGTTCCTTCCATTCACCTTCAGTGACTGGACCCGAACAATAAGTATATTTATACTGTAGTTTCTACACTACATTTTGAAACTATCTGCTACATTGCGAGTTTCAGTTCAAATGTAAACAAGTATCTTAAACAGGCGCGAATCTGAGATTTTCTCAAAGTGGGCTGATTTTCAGAAAATTTTCGAAATCGAGAAAATTGTCCATCTTTTCTTTTTTTAGGTCAATCATATTTTTGGAGCCCTCCAAAAGCTCTATGAAGACCATAAATTAATCAAAACTTTTGTGTGCCAATTTTGAAAACAATTTAGGCATTTTTTGTGATCTGACCACAATATTCGCGTTTTGTCGGCGAGCGCTAGCCCTCAAAAAATTGCAAAGATTGGTGCCAAAAGAGCATCTTAAAAAGTTTTTGGGGTCGTTCAACAAAAAGTGGATATTGTAAAATAGTACCAAACGGGGACCTTTTGGGTTGTCGGCGCAATGATACGTCTGTCAGGAAAAAAAAGTCGGGCTCGACCCAGAAAAAAAATTATGCGAACAAAATTATTCAATTTGCGACCTTCAATGTTGAAATTTTGTCAAAAAAACGTTGTTTTTTCACAAACCATGGTTTGAGTTTTTTCTGCCACTTTTCACTCATCAGATTTGAATTGAATTTTAACAGTTGGACTCAAACTTTTGTCTCTTATTCAAGCATGTACCAAAAAGTTCACCCGAGAGGATTTTAATGGAATTAATCGAAAGAGTTCAGTTTTAATTCGCTCATCACTCAAGGACTGCCGATGTCAAACATTGTACCTTCTTTCTATATTTGTAATAAGAAAACAACAGTATTAAAGTCTTATTTATCGTTTGTATAATTTGACTTTTAGTTGAAATGTTTGTACTAATTTTCTCCGCTTTTCTGGGTTAGTTTCTTTGCTCTCTACCGCAATTTGCTTTCACTTGTAGAACTTCTGTAAATTTTTTTGACAGATCGAAAAAAATGTTTCGAATACTCAAAATTCTTTCTGCTCATTTTTATTCCCATCAGCTTAGAGAAGGGACATCATTCTTGAAGATTGAGCTTTACTTCGTCATTATATATAAATCTACAAAATTTTATACGTTGCCAAAAAAGATGAAAAATTTTGTAGTTAACTTATACATAATTACGAAAAAAAAAGAACTTTTCTCGGCGTGACGAAAAAATTGGACCAGTTATTTTGTAACTGTGGTAGTTGAATTATTGATTATAATTAAGTATCCGCCAATTTACTTGAAGCTGACTGATATGTTTATGTATGCTAAACTACTTTTTTTGAATTAAATTCAACGAGAGCAATTTCTATAACCATTTTCTCATAACAAAAATGAGTGCCATCGAAAAAACCGTCAATAAAATTGTAGTAAAATGTGAAGAAAAAAAATCTTTTTTTTAATCAATTTTTCAGAGTTTGTCTGCTCAAAAAAACGGATGCAAAAATAGTTTGGAGGAGTAAAATCGAGTTCTATAAAATCCTTGACTAAAATTTGGAAATCGTAATTAGTAACATGTCTGCGCATGACGAATCAATGATTGTAAATTTTGCTCTGTTTTACAATGTAACTGCAGAAGGAATAAAAGTATAAATTTGAAATTTTGAAATATTTTACCAGCTACATACATAAAGCAAAAGCTGAATTAAATGCCTTGTGGGAAATTTTAAACAGCAGTACTGCTCATCGAGTAGGATATCCTGGAGAGGAAAAGAAGGTTGTCAATATTTATCATTATTGTTCCGATTTTTGAACCGAAAGTAACGGAATATTTGTACTCGGGGTGGGTTGTTTTTCTTCAGTCAAATTTCGACTTTTTAACTAGCAATTTTTGACCAAATTTTTATATCATTCCATAAGTATTGTTGTTTTGAGCTTAAATTTGAAACGATATCTAACCTGTGATCTGTTTTCGTAACGTTATGGGGGTTTAAAGGTTGTCATTTTGGCCAATTTGGACGCCCGATATATTTTGCGCGATTAACGCGTGAGTGGAGATTTAATCCGTCTTAAAATTGTTCCAGATTGAAGAAAACTTATTTGCCATAAGTGATTTGTTACTAGGAACAAAATCTATCACTTTGTACTTTATATGGCGTCTGGGGGGAATATTTTCACAAAAAAATCTTAATGTTAAAAAAAGTCATTTTATTATTTTATTTTACTTTTTTGTTATTACTGCTCCATAGACCTTAAAAGGCAGTTAGAACTTTCAGTGCTTCGCCCTGATACGAGCATTTTTCTTATGATTATTAATATCAACAGGGTTTTTAACGAGATGATCTGAAGTTACAAAACAGTTCGTAAGGGGTTAGTTCTGAAGTTCTGAATAAACAAGAAGCAATCAATGAATAATAATATTTAATAGTGAAGCGGCAGAGGGTTTTTGGGGGAGGGGGAGGGTAATTAAGAACCTTTGAAATTAAAAAAGAAACTTCATAAGTTATGCTCTTTGCTCTTGCCCGCGTCCTGCGAATACCCCCACCCCGAGCCGGGCAATACAAGTATGGTGTGCGAAATGCTATTAGCGTCGTGATTATTTCTAGTATGTTCGCTTACTGGATTTCAACCAAGAGTGTCTCAAGATTTCATACTTCCGAGTTCACACTCATATAAAGGAAGAATCTGCTCAAAATTCAGGTCAGCCTAATTTTATTTCAGACCATGATAAAGAGGTGTGTAATTTAGACCAATGCAAAATTAGACAAAAATGACGACATAAGACGAAAAAATCCCAACTTGGAAACGAAGACATTAGACGAAAACTTACTTTTTTTCAACAGACAGCAATAATTAGGCAGCCATCTCAATGGTAAAATCAGTTTTAGCTAATATTTCAAATTTTCTGGAAAATATGAGGCAAAAAAATTGAAGCCGGAAATCCAAAAGTGAAAGCTAGGAAAAAATTTTGCTTTAATCTGAACGTCAATTTTTCGAGAAAAGACTTTATAGTTTGTCTTGTAGACCTAATAATTTGAGAGAGTTGGCTCCCTCGCAAAAAAAACGAAATCTGCAAAAAAAAATGTGAAAGGCATTTTTTAGAAACCCAAAATGAATTCGCACAATAAATTTGGTCTACCTAAACGTAGATCTGCATCTTATTTGACTGATAGTTTGCCCCCTTCGATAAAAACCATTCCAATGATGAGGATTCAATCCGAATGATAAAAATACATCCCTGGCGCTGGTCGCTGATGATAGCTAAAGAATTTTTTTTGTCTTTCCAGTTAGGGAAAGATTTCAGGGAATATCTAATGATTTTCTGATGGGAGAGTATGTTAAGTACCTGCTTATAGCTAGCAAAAGCTATACACTACATAACTATTGATTGTTTTCTGATCAGAATTATGGTTTTTGAGTCATTGATTTTTTCCGATCAGAAATAACAATTTTAAAAAATTTAGTCTGAAATTGAGATCCGAAAATAGAATTTTTTAGATCTGAATTAGAACGTTTACTAGGTTTGGTTAGTATTTCAGAGAAATTTGTTCCGTTTCATCCAATATCTCCATTTTCAATTCGATAGTTTTTTGTCCAAGTTCTGCTGTTTTTGTCTAATACCATTTTCACCTATTTTTACTGCATACCTAAAAAATAATGATTATTAAAAATGCGCAAAACTACATTTTTGTTTCTATAAAACCAATTTTAAAAAATCATAACAATTGCTCGTATCGGGTAATAAACTTGAAAATTCCGTAGGTTCTTTTTAAAAAAATGTTTTCAATTTCTAAACTGATAAAACCTAGAAAAAAGAAATCTGAAAAAAAACATTGCATTGTTTTTTTGAAAACCGTCCCTCCAAGCGCAATATGAAATAAAAACTGATATCAATTGATTTGATATCAATTGATGAAGGATTTGCAGAGAAAACTTCCCGTGTGTAGGACATAGTGAAGTATTTTGCGAAAAGGAAACGGTAGCTGTCAATCAAATTGAGCTAAGAGAAACTTGATGATTCCAATTATAACCATAAGAACTCAAAAAAAAATTATATTTAAATTTAAAATGAATAAGACTGCTCGCCGTATGCAGTAGTGTTTGCCTTGAAAAATAGATGAAGTTTTTTAAAAATTGAAAAAATTTCAAAATACTTTTTTTTCTAGTTTTTTTTCAAAATCATCTCCCCATACGCTATGTAAAGTACAAAGTGAAATAGCTAAGTAATATATCGAGATAATTTTGTGCCCTTAAAGTTTTAATGACCTCTTAATAGCTAACAACACGAAGTATATCGCGCAATTTATAGTAAAAATTGGCACTTTTCCGTCACCAAAAATGGATATCTCAAAATAGCACAAAAAGGGGGGACCCTTTGGGTCCGCAGGGGGTCGAATCCTTGATAGGTGGAGGGGTGTCCGCCCCGGCGTTAAGCAATATCAACGTCAATTCACTCGAAAGTCCAGATTATTTTTCCGCAGTGAAAACTTTTCCGTTTTACTGCCGCTGGCGTTTGCATCAACCACGAAATGTGAAGAAACAAATGCTTCGGGTGTTTTTTATGCAAAATCAGGTTCCACGAGTAGAGTAGCACGAAAATAGCACGTAACGTTCCGACCATAATAATTTAAGAAAAAAGTTTCGAAACTAACTAAAACTTCTTTAAACCTAAAAAAATTTTCATCAGTATTTTTTTTTCTTTTTTTCAAAAGAATCATAAGTACATATAGCTAAAATAACGTTAAATTTTGTACCCGAAATGATTTGGAAAAATTTTGGACCACTTTTTCTCGAAACTGAGAGAAATTTTACTATTTTTAATAGAATTCGAATCACGACAAAAAGAATTTTAGTATGAACTTACCTAGGGGCAGTCAAATTTGGCTGAAAAAAAAACTAGACCCAAATCCAATGTAGCTTGCTTCTTTCTTTTTGTTTTCATAATTAAGATCACACTTTTTCGTGCAATTGGTCTTCATCCTGCGAATTTCCACCACAAAATGGGGCTTTTAAGCCAAGACCCCAAACGTTATAGAATAGTGTTAACTATCATTGTTATAATTGCAAAACTCAGCAGCACGCGTCAAAAAACACGACAAAAAGATGAAATTTAGTGAACGGCTGAACTGTTTTCCGCTACGCGTCGTAAGTTATGTTTGCGGATTGCTATTGCGAGGATCAAATCAACCGATATTGATTTAAATTGTTAAACCGATTATATTTCATTTTTAGTCTGCTTCTCTAAGTTTACTCACAAATGAGTGAATTAATAGCTAGTTACCAGGAGCCATTAAAATTTGCCTTTTGTCACCTTCATGATTTTAAATGTTTTTTTGTTTTTTAGCTCACTGTTTTGCCTGCAAGGGTTCAAGTTCAAGGAAAAAGTATCCGATAGACCGGCATTTGTTCGCGACGTGATAGACATGCAGACACTCATCCGGCCAGTTTATCGGCTGCTGAATTGGTTCTCTTTGTTCCAATTCGGACAGGGTAATTTTCTTATTTGGGTTTGTACCTGTCTCTGCTCTTACATGTATAAGTTGTGTTTCACAATTCCTTTGTTTTGCATTGAAATTATGATTTTGTAGAAAAAAAACTTCTTGTTAAAATTTATTGCCAACTTCGAATCAATTTATGAAGGTTATCATGACTCTAGCATCAAGTTTTGTTGGCCCCGGAAACTTTAGAAATCAGTTTTTATTTAGCTACATTTTTGCTATCCTCCAGTCAAAATATGATAACCTTGAATCTCAACATCAAGAATAAGTTTTTAGTTCAAACAGCTAGAGGGCCCACCTGATACGAGCAGTCTTGTTGCATTTTTTCCTGGAGATGGAAAAAACTTGTGTTAAAAAACTCTCAGCTGCTGAGCTAAATTCACTGGACAAGTGTTGTTTATTAGACACCACAGCATTTTTCAGAATCCAAACCCAAAATGCATTACAAGTGTAAGTGGATTCCACAATAAGGGCAACCCGGAATCTGTCGAGGAATCCAGATCGAGGCTAACTTCATTTGATATTTTTTGCTGTTGTGGAATCCGCTGACAAGTAGCTAAGCCATGAGCTTCAAATTCTAAACTCAATTACTTGTTTTTTTTTTTCGGCCGATCAGTTCTTTGATTTTTCCGTGTTTTGCTGAAATTTTGACGCCACAATTGTACCGCCTCCCAATAAAATTTATTTTACAACCTGCACTGAAAAAAACAGATTACGACTGGTTTTAGTACAAAAAAGTATGTTGATTAAACTTAGATCGATATTAGTATGAAAAAAGTACGAAGAATAAATAAAAAAAGATAAAAACTGATTTGGATCGATTTAAAATTGATTTAAATTGACCTTAAATCCCAGCTAAAAAATGATCCAAATCAATTTTAAATTGATTTGAGTTCATTTTTTCTAATCTTGATTTCTTTGTACTTTTATGGGGATTAAAAGGGATTTAAATCAATTAAATCGATTTTTTTCTTTCGAGTTTCATCACTTTCGAATTTTTATTCATTGCCTATCATTTTTTATTTTACATCGCGTATTGTAGCGTAAAAATACCGAATAAAAAGACCAAAATATCAAAAAGTACTATAACTTTTTGTATATTTTCAAAAAATGATCTATATTGACTTTTTTGTTGATTCGTTTCATAAATTTTTGCTCTAAATTTGATTTTGATATATGACTTTTTATGATTTATAAGCATATTAATGAGATCAAAATTTAATTTATTTTGACCATTTTCTTGTTTGTAAGATGGAATTGTGCCCATATTCTGATTAACAATGATTTTCTATGATTTCATTGCATATTTTCGAGCTTAAAACTTGGTTCATGTGGATCATTTTTAAAAATTCTATCGCATCTTGCTTGTGTATTTTTATTTAAAAAACAGAGAATAAAATATTTCATTTATTTTTTTTGAAGAATATGCATTTTTTGCCGTGTTAGCGAAAAAAAAAATTGAGTCTGAAAATCCATCCAAATCGATTTAAGTTGATTTTTAAGACACTTAAATTGATCCGAAATTTTCAAGAAAGATCAATTAAAATCGATTTAAAATGGATTTAAGTGAGTTTCGTATGCATTTTAATGAGTCGGAAAATCATCTAAATCGATTTTAGTCGATTTTTTAGACGCTTAAATGAATCCAACATTTTAAAAAAAGATTGACTTAAATCGATTTAAAATCCATTTAAGTTCATAAAATGTAGATTGTTAATTGATTTGTATCAATTTAAAATTACACTTGCTCTAAATTCTGTTTGTTTTCTGCAAAAAAAAAACAATTTGTATCCATATTTTTCTATGTGGGCTCGCTACCTATTTTTATTCGGATAGGTTCGTGCAACTCCTTAGTCCACTATTTATTCATTCTCAGGGAAAGAACTGAATTATTCGAGTTAAGATTGAGATCAACTTCATTCCAATCAGTAATTATAATGATCTGATCAGTTCAATAGATCAAACTACGGTATTCAACAGGTTTTGTTTAGGACCATGAAATTTTATTTTAAACACTAACCAGTGTTCCCTAAATTCAAATCTTACGAGAAAATAAGTTATTCTTGCAATTTTTCTGTCAAATTTCTTGCAAGGTTTGCCTTCCTTCTAAATTATACGTTTTGAAAAATTAACTTCAATCAAGAAAATTTTGAAAGTCGATTGAGATTGAAGTTTCAATCAATTTGCTATGTTTATAACTTTATATTTATGTTGTAGGCAGAAATGTTCCGCCAATTAGAGTTTAATAAATTAATTTTAAGTTTCAATAATAACTGCTAACAACTCTATTTCCTTTAACCCGGTTGGAAGCAACTATAAGTCATCTTAAACCAACCATCGAAGCTAATACCACAAAACCAACCGCATATAGGAAAGTCCCAGGGTACTGAGACAAGATTAAAACTGGATAAATTTTTCTTTTGAAACCCGCTTTCAAATTTTATTGAAACCACTTGAAACACTTAAAACTCAAAAGAAAAACCCAAAACAATTAATGACAAAAAAAGTTAAAAAAACCTGACAAAAAAGAACAAAAAATTGAACACAAAAAGAGACTCTGCTCAAAGAGACGAAAAATTATACTCCCTCAACTGGCCTCACCACCCAGTAGGACGTCCTGAGCATGCTGTGTAGCCGGCTTAACCCACCGCGGTACACCACGCTTATGGCACGCACTCAGTTGCTCTAGGTTGAGCGAATCTATAAAATAACCGAAACTAAATATAACGGTTCTGCGTAAACAACTAATGAATATCATAGCTAAAATTGATCTCACTAACAAGATATAGATTTAATATGCAATGTAAAACTATTTCTTAGAGCAAACGGAACGAGCAGCAAATGGAGATAAAAACTCGACGACATTCCGACTTTGGAATGGCAAATCTATTGGTTTGTTGCCGTAGTCACAACCCTCACAGGATTTGAAGCATGGACCCGACATCGCAGTGAAGGAACCCATTGAAGAAGAACAATGACCAACTCTATGGTGACCTCACATACTGATACTAGTCACTTGGTGCTTCACACAGAGAAGTCAAAATCTATCTTGCACGTAGTCTCACTCTAGCTTAACGAAATCAACACATCATTGCATCAATCTGAAATCTTGACACGATCGCTCAACACAATCTAGGATGAACGAGACCCAATTCTGGAACACGAACAACTATTTTCCTTCTCTCTACGAATACAACTACATCTCTCCTTCCTTCGCGCAGTCACTGCTTCAAAAGATAACTACTCCAAAAACCAAGAAAACTCTCCTTCCATCCTTCACGACAATAAACCATTTGAAAACAAAAAATCTCTAAGCCCCGGATGGGTGGTGGAACCAGTTTAAAACTAGTTTTCATAACCAATTATGTTCTTGATAAAACTATCTCTATAAAATATTTCTTTCTAACCAATCATGATCCATAACTAACCTTGACAACTATTTGTGTTGCTGAAACTACAAGTAGTTTCAGCATCAGAACAAATTGAATATAACTTAGAAGACAATTGTTCTCCTTTGGACAAGTTCCATAAACCTAACCCGCAAATACCAGTATACACAAGATCTATTGAGACTAAGAGATATAAGAGTAGGATTAAGATTGGTATTAGACTAAGAAGTTGCACGAATCTATCCGGCCGAAAATAAGACAGTGTGACAAACAGACGGTGTATCTTATCTGAAATTACTCAATGAGTAAGCCACACCAAGCTTAAACTCGTATGTTTTAATCATCCGTATTATATAAGCATTAAACAATTTTTATGCACTATAAATTTCAGGTGGTTGTTGTGACATGCAAACAGAGAACTACTTATTTTCTGGCCAGAATTACGGAGTGTCACCACGAGACTTCTTTTTCAACCTCACAGACTTCTCAGAGTCCGCGGAGAACAGACAGCTTGTGAGGATGCACGTATGCAAATTGAATTATTTCAGTCGGATACTTTCAGATTTTTAAATTATGATCACGCCCCCCCCGCCCCCGTTGCGGGGAGTTTTTCATTATAGTTACAAAATTATGATATGCGTAAACGTTGAAATAAGTTTTCATTGGGGGAAAAATAGTTTAAGCGTCCATACTTTAATTGGGTGTTTTTCTGTTTTTCATTTGCATAAGATTACGGCCAATTGCGTATTTCATTTGCATATTATGGCCAACTGGGTGTTTTACCATTAAAATAAAAGAAATGAAAAGCAGATGTGTTTTCAGGGGCACCTAGAATTTTCTCCAGAAGGGAGATTTTGAAAAACATTGTTGACGTTTTTGAGATGCAAATGGCTTTTCTTTTTGTTAACAATGGATTTTTTTATTATTATTTTTAGAAAATTACAATTTTAAATTTGTGATTCAAAATTGAAAATGTACTTTTGGGTATTGGAAATTAATCTTTCAGAATCTGATTAACTTCATTTGAGGTGAAACATTCCAGGCAAAAAAAAGTTTCAGGACCGGTTTCTTTTTGGCAACGTTGCTCAATACACCTGCCAACTAGCTTTCCTAGCTCCGAATAATCCGAGCTTCCCATTCGTTGTTGTCTGAATATTCCGCTGATCTGACTTTTCCATTGAACAATGGCCGTGAAAACAGTTTGGATTTTGCAAAAAAAATTCTGTCTATTTCAATTTTTTGGTCTACAAAAAACTGCCTCAAACCCCCACCCGTGATTTAAATGATACGGCTGACTAAAATTTGAAGCAATTATGATTTTTTTGATCTATTTTTTTTCAGTTCTTTTCATGAAAATAGAATTAATTTAAAATTAGTTTAGGCGCAGTTTATCAGTAACATCTGTCTGAACGAGATACAAGAACTGTCTTTCGGCTACGGGGAATTTCAGATGACGGGTGACTACAAAGCAGACTATGATTTCACCATGCCTCCTATGGGCAGCAATCGTCTCATGTTCAGGTAGCCGAAAATTGTCTTGTTCAAAATGAACAATGCAGGTCTGATTTCTGTAACAGGGCCCTAAATAGATGTCTTGGTATTTTGAAAATTGCATTAACACAAGGCTTGAACCATTTTAGTCTGCTGGAAGTTTTTGCAGTACTGTTGTTCCGACCATTCAACTTTGTATTCGGAGAAACTTTGTATTCGTGTGTTTTTCTTTTTAAGTTTTTTTTTCTCTTTGTTTCCCACGCAAAATTAGGCACCCAAATAATCATCGGACTGAAATAAGTGATATATCATTTTTGAACCACACTGAAAATTTTCCCCAAGTGTCGAGAAAAACCGGTTTGAAATTTTTGATTTTTTTTCGTCTTATTTCCAGCTAATACGATCATTTGAGCTTATTTCAAGCAAAGTTAGTTTTTTGGGTTTTAGCGCCATTTTGGTATTCGAAATTTTCAATATATAGAGCAAGACAGCTGTTTGTTCTAACGCACAGACAGGCATCTTCAAACTATATTCTAGTTTGTCTTACTTGATTTTGCAAATTAGTAAACATGATAATGTATAAATTTCTGATGTTTTAAGGTTTTGCAATTCAAATGGGATAAATTTATTAGTGCCGAATACTCGGCCGAGCCTCAAAACGCATTCCTTATTAAATAATGGCGGAAATAAAAATTTCAAAAATCCATTTTTTAAAAACAAAACTGATTTTAGCTGAAAATATTTTCGAAAAATATGTGTACTCAAAAATTTTTGTTGTTCAGAATTTATGCTCGGTGTGGTTTGGTTTATTCAGTCAACTTTTGGCGATCGAAATAATAGTTTTTAACAAACAAAGTTACACCACATTGAAGATCACAACACTCCGATCATTTTTTGCAAAGTTTTAGGAGGTTGAAAATTGCCAATTTGTCCATGCTCTTCACACCCGCGCGTTGAAGATTTTATCCATAATCTTGAAAGCGCTACGCAGTCTATTTTTACGTGACAATTTACCAGGCTCAGCAAAATTGTTCAAAATTGAATTAGGGCTAGCTAATCGTTCGTATTAATTTTGTACGATTTAAATTTTCACACTTGACGTTTGATATTGTCCAACATTTTTTGTTTTTCAATATTTTATATATCCAAAAACTACTCGATATGGATTAAGGGGCAGTCGGACGGAACAATCAGGGCTTTTCCCTGATATACGAGCAGTCTTTTTTATTCAGTCTTTTTTCGGCGATTCAATTAATAATGCTCAGGAAAAAATTCTCCTATGCTCCATTGGCGATATCGTCTCCATCGAATCAAATGTAGATAGATAATTTACCTACGACCATTTTTTAAAAAAAATTTGGGTGTTTGCAAACTGCCAATTGGACCATGCTCTGGACTAATTTATGCTCGCTTTGAAGGTTTTTTTTAAATTATCCCGCGCAAAAAAAGTGTTCCAAACTGATTTGAGGCTAGCGTATTTTTTAGTGAACTAGCCAAAGTTAATTATTTAGGGTAAACTAAGCTATGGCTATCTGACAAATCTTTGCTGTATAAATTGCAGCGCACGTGCGATTTGAACCCGCAGTCATTTGATTGCTGGTCACCATCACTACCAATTTGCCAATACGTCACTTACCTACGACTTAAGTTTTCACACTTGATCTTTGATGTTGCCCAAAATTTATAGTTTTTTAACAACATTTTTTCCCGAAAACTATTCGAAATGGATTAAGTGGCTGTCGGAACATTCATCTATGAGCAGTCTTGTTTGGTATTGATACCGCTATTAAACTTTTTATTTAATGATCTCTATTTAATCCCTATGTAGGAAGTTTATACTGAACGATCTCTTTGAATAGTTCAAAACAAATAGTTCAATTGAACCGAAGGTATAATTAATCACCACCACCAAAACTGATATATTTAAGTAATGCCTGGTGCAAAACCATCACTCGTTTTTCTTTCAGCAAAATTATATTACTACCAATGAGTTCCAATTACATTCACCTAACACTGTAAAATGACGTTTATGTAATTTTTTTTGTAAATGAGATAGCATAGTTGGAACGCTACTAAAAGAAAAATTCTTCTACACTTTATGCAATTACGTTAAGGTTGAGATGAACAGAGCTAGACGTTTCTAGCATAATTGGTTAAATTTTGAAATGATCTTGACTCAATTCGGTATATATATATTTCAACAACACTGTTACGAGGCCAAACTGTGCACTGGGTAGGCTCACAATTTTGTGTCTGTATGTTCCTGGATTGCAGAGACAATTCTTTTAATATGTTCCAAAATGTGAGCGTATTCCATTTACAAAATTTCCGTGGATTCCTTGTACAAATACCAGAACGTAAATTTTTACGGCACAATAGTTTACGGCACATTAGCGAATATGGGTAGTTCTTCCAGTTTCCGCAAAACGTAAGTGGATTCCGCAAACTGACGCAAAAACAGTTTTAACTTTGCTTATTCGGCTTATAATTTGCGGAATCCGCTTACAATTTTCGGATTCCCATTACAATTTGCGGATTTCCCCTTATAGTTGCGGAATACTTGACAGCTTAAACTTACTAAACACTTATATTATTATTTCTTCATGGATTCCATAAATTATTGCGGATTCTACAAAATTGCCTGTTTTTGAAGCGATTTTGAGCAATACAGTGTTTTAGCTACTTGTCCGTGGAATGTAAAACAGCAAAGAAAATCAAAGAAAAGTAGCATTGTTGCGGGTTCAGCGACAAATGTGATTTTGGCCTTCTGCGGAATAGGCCTACCATTCACAAAAAGCATAGTTTGGCCTCTTTATGACAATTTTTATCCAAAAGTTTTTGCTGAGTCAATTAAAAATATACAATTGGCGTTAGATAAAATCGGCGATAAGTGAAATATAACTTCTAATTTTACACGAATTCGATAAATTATAATGATAATGGCGCCTTCAATTTGACTAAACAAAGGGCATCAACATTAGTTTTACTTTTGTTGTTTGCCTTTTTTTATTTTTTTCAACACAATGAATGCCAAGTAACGTCATGGGAAATCTTCCTTGTCAATATATGTTCAATTTAAGATACTAGAGCTGATTGTTCTGTCTCCCCTCTGCCCCGCCCGCGACTTTGTATGGGTTTCCTTGAGTGTGTATGGAGAACATCTTGCTAAAATGCTTACTTAACCATAGGGGCGATGTGTTAAAAATTATATTAAGGCCTTAAATATATTAAGGCAAATTTATCCACAAGAGAGAAGATCAACATACGAGCTGTTTAGCTCATCACGAAGAACCGCTGTTGTGCACATGCTTAAGAATTAGATGCAATTTTCTTGTCTGGGTAATGTTACCTTAACCTCATGCAACGTGAAGGATCAAGGTGGGCCTCGAACATCCGACCTCTCGATTGAGAGGCGGAGTCGTAACCACCTCACCACTGCCTCATAATCACAACACCTCCACCAGGGGCGGATTTAGGGTGAGGGTCCCCCCTATGTACTATTTTGAGATATCCTTTTTTAGCTGACGGACCTTAAGATTTTTTGGAAAGCCACTTCGGCGCCAATATATACTAATTTTTTTGGGGGAAGCGCGCCGAAAAAAACGCTGTTTTTGGCCTGTTTTTTCACAATTTTGCCTGTGGCGCAGAAAATTTGGCAAAAACAGGACAGGGTCTTTTCTACTGCTTTGACAGAGCTCGGACAGTGATTTTTGTCAGAAAACTTTTCCAAAATTCCCGCACCCCCTCGAGAAAATCCTAGATCCGTACCTGACCTCCACATTAAGAAATGGGGGCATTAACCTACAACAATTGGATCTCCTTAACTACACCCCAATGGCACCTAGAAACATATTGCCACCCACAAAAAAAAACAATAATTCAACAGTGCAGCATATGTGAATTTTGCACCTAACGAATCGAATCTTTTGCAAAATGAGGTTAAAAGTTAACCCTTCGATAGAAACCTAGATGTTTGTATTTTTTTGCAGGTTCAAGTGGAGCTCAGTGCGACAAGACATCACGTACGAAAAGTTTAAAACCAGAGTCATATGTGTTGAACAGCCTTGGATCTGCTTATCATAAAGAACAAATTTAACATGTTCAAATGTGGTCACTTTGCAAATGTATCTATTTCGTTTCTTTTTGAGTTGAAAAATATAATTTTAGCCTATTTTTTTTAAAAGTTCGGTGCGGTGCTTCGAGCTTAAATAAACGTTAATTTCTACATAAAGGTCTCTTCGCGCCAAATCAATGCCATCGGCATCGCAAAACAAATCACGAAATGACTTTATTTGCACTCCACATACTTGATCTCTACAAGAGATTAAAGATGACAAACGCGCATTAAAACATTCAAAATTGAACCTTTTGAATTTCAGTGGTTTATAATTCTAATTGTATGTAGCGTCGCCCGAAACAGTTCTCACAGTGGGAACTTACAAAAAAGACTGATTCAAAACTTTGGTACTAATGAAAACTTGCCCAGTAACCCTCGAAAAATCATAATTGTACAGTAGTAAATCCTCTATTTGTTGTTTTTCCTACTTCAGAATATATATGATTACTATAAAACCACGGTTTGAAAAGGGTTTAGAGGGGTGAGTTTTTTTTCAAGAAAAGCGCCCGGGTTGACCTCCATTGACCAAAAATGCTAATCATACAATTCCATAAACTAAGTCTATGAAAAAACACAAATCATACAAATTTCATACCTTTTGCTAATATGGTGTCGTCGAACTTTTCTCTTGTTTTGGCATAAAATTCTGTGTATCGTACTGAAAAAAAGAAAAACTTTTGTCAAAAAAATGCTAATCATACAATTTCCATATATGGAAAATGTATGACTAGCATTTTTTTGTATTTTTGAAATTGCCCTTAAAAAACTTTTTGTGTTTTTTTTTTCAACCGCAAACTGATTTTCGTACTCAAACAAACATTTTTTGAAAACTTTTGTCAAAAAAATGCTAATCATACAATTTCCATATATGGAAATTGAAAACATTTTTTGAAAACTTTTGTCAAAAAAATGCTAATCATACAATTTCCATATATGGAAAATGTATGACTAGCATTTTTTTGTATTTTTGAAATTGCCCTTAAAAAACTTTTTGTGTTTTTTTTTTCAACCGCAAACTGATTTTCGTACTCAAACAAACATTTTTTGAAAAAAAAATTTTGCATGCAAAATTTAATTTTTTGTGTGTATAACGTAGTCCTGGATATACTAATATTGGATTTTTTTTCCTTTTCTCTTCGGAACTTTTTTCAAAAACGCTTAAAGCTCTCTTTTTTCTATGACATAATTTTCTATGCATTGATCAATGTCTGGCAATTTAAAATTCAAATTTTAGAAACAATCATCTTTGAAAATTTTTGCCAAAGTTTAGAAGTTCGTTACTTTCGTTATATTATTTGTGCGAAATAGAATTAAAACATTTCAGTCTGTTTCCAATGCATTGTTAATGCGAGACGGCCAAACCTTCGGTCACTACGTATGAGTACCCAAGGCTTATGTCATTTGTGTTCGGTTACAAACACAACCAAAAAATTTTGAGAAAATAAAATGTAAAAATCAATATTTCTGGTTTATGGAAAAATGCTAGTCATACAATTTCCATATATGAAATAAATACTAACCATAGACCAATCATGCAATTTTCTGTACTTATGGAATTCCATGAAAAGTGTATGATTAGCATTTTTCCATATATGAAAGTTGTATGATTAGCATTTTTGGTCCACCCGGGCGTGATTGAAAAAACGAAAGCGGAAAAGCGCGGTTTTAGAAAACTAAAAGGCGGAGGTGGATCTTAATTAGCACCGAAATAAAAAATATTTCGTTTCTTGTGCCAAAATTATTCAATTGGCCGAAGAAGACTGAGCCGAATACTTTCAGCTCTATGCTTAAGATCGGCGGTGGTTATAATTGGCTCAGATTTTTGTAGAAAGTTCTATATTCTGTTAGCTCGCCAACAAGGGATAACGTCCATACAAAAAAATGCCTAATCTACAATTTCATATATGGGGTTCATGATAAAAAATGCTTATCATACAATTTTCATAGAAGAAGTTTGTATGACAAGCATTTTTTCGTTCGATTTTGTTTTGATTCTTAAATTGGTTTACTACTCAACTATACAATTTAGTGGCAGTTTTAGTTACATATGATCAGTTTTGGCAGCAGCAATTAAATTGAAAACAATGCTTATCATACATTTTATTAAATGAAAAATGGAAAGTATGCTTTTTTTCCAGAGCAAAAATACGTTTGATGTAACATTTTTCTATCAATTTTTATTTCAACCTTGCTTCTATGCTCAAATACATATTTCACGAACAAAAAATTTTGCATAAAATTCTTAAGTCAATGTCTATAATGTAGTCAAAAATGAGTGTTCACCCAAAAAATCACTATCAAATGATTTTTTTATAAGCAAAAACATTGTGAAAACTGCTGATCATACATTTTCAATTTTTAAAATAGTTTATCATACAATTTTGTGACAGGAAAAAAATCAAGTTTTGCAATTTTCATACAGTTTTTGGTTGAAAAATATGGTGAAAAGCTTGTTATTTAACTCCAGGGTGTGGCAAAAAAGCTCATCGGAAAATTTCATACTTTGAAAAAACTGCTTATTTTGCTCTTTCTAAACAAACTTTTAATCCATTAAATTGTCTGAAAGCATTTTTTTAAAAGTATGAAATTGTTTTTTGGGCGTTTTTTTGTCAAACCGGGCAAACGTTGGCGCGACTGCAGCGGTCACTATTCTGTTGTCTAGTTTTATGCTGTTTGAAAAGTAGAAATTTAGTTTAATAGGTTATTGGCACGCCATAGGACCAATCAGACTCGAATTGATTAATTTTCGTACAAATGAACTTTGGGAAAATTGGAAAGTCAACAGGAGGATGGCTGGCTGGTTGCCCTTTCTGAAAACATTCTATGTGTACCGCTTATAACACATGAAATCAGAAATTAAAACAAATTTTGACCGACTAAAAAAATATAAACAGTTAAATTTTCATAAATAGTCAGATCCGAGGCTCATCAAGAATATTTTGTTCAATATCTGCACAAACTGTACAATAGAAATTGGCTGTAAATCAAAAGAGCTGTTAGTTTTTGACTTCGGTTTTAAGCAACAACTATTCTGCGAATAGGGAAACTTGATAATTCTGATTGTTTGAAGTTTTTCCATCTTTCGGTAGCTCTATCAAGAGAATAAACACCAATAAAACTGGTTACATTATATGGCCAAATTGTGCTTTTGATAGGCGCCTAATTTCGTGCGTGTAGATCACTGAATTCCAGAGAAAAATCTTTGAACATTATTTCAGAATGTGATTAGATTCTACATTAAAAAATTCCGTGGATTCCGCACAAGTTTTCACCCAAACACGTGAAAAAAAATTCTGGTTTTTCAACAACTGAAATCATAGCAATAAATCAGATGTGCGTGGCAAAAATTTCGATTTCCACTTAAAAAACGTTAAGGGATACATCTCGCCAACAAAAAACCTACAAAAAGCGTAAACAAGGTATAAAATTTTGATCTAACACCAGCCAATAAACAAATAAAGCCCGTAAACTAAGAATTGACTTCCAGTTTACACATCTAACGGCATTGTTGTGTGTTTTTATTTAAGTTCTCAAAATTGAACTACGTTTCTTTCCAATCAATGTTTCCATTAGTTAAATTATCGTAATCAGTAGAATGATTTCAAAAAATTCGCTTTTGGTTCAAAAACATCAGCTCTAATCACATCGTAAACATCAACTTCCAAGACGGGCGGCACTTCTTTTGCATTGAAGTAATCTTCATATCCAAAATCTGCAGTGCTGACGTCACATTCGAACAAACTACAACAGCTAACAGATATCAATAAAAAACATCTATGCAACCTAACTGATGTCCATCGAGCGCGCTTTAAAAATTCTTTGCTCAACGCAATCATGCGTCGTTGTCAGATATAATGAACGCAAACCACGGTTACACAAGATCAAATATAAGACACATGATCGAATTCATCAAAGCACTCTACCATACGAAGTTATTATTTTTTTTCTCTTTGATCATCAAAGCAAGCTTTTTGTAAAATATGGTAGCAAATTTGCCCACTCCACCCGTGCAGGAAAGAACAAAAGTTGTGAATAAATTTGATCAATTTTTCTGATACGTTGCTCAAAGCTTCTCTTTTTTCTCATTTCGGGTTACCTGTAACACTTGGCAGAGTACCAGAGTTTGATTTGGCGCAAGGATTGACGGTTCGACTTCAACACTAGAGCAAATCTCAGTCAAGTTTTGCTGTTATGTCTTTCACTTCATTATGTCGAACAGCTGGGAAGCCTCAAATAGGACTTTACAAGCAATGCTCATCGGAGAAATTTTTTCACAAACACAGTGGAAAGGAACATTTTTCAGCAGCCAATTACATCGCAAGCGTTAAGCATTCCAATACGTTGCTTTGCAAAACCATATTGTTCTAACGGCAACGTTGTGAGCCAGTTTGAAGCGCTTCTTTCGTTAACCAGTTCACGTGCTTTTGAGAATGGAGTACTGACAAGCGAATGCAACAGAACATATTTCTTTCTTCCGAAGCACCGTTCGTTCTCCTTCTTGTTTCTGCCACTTGCAACTCCGTCTAAATCGAAATCGCTCGAAAATAAATTCTCAACAAAATTTTTACAGAATCTCTTGGAGTTTTTGAATTTCTGAGCGGCGTCTGTTTTTGGATTGACGATCTTCAAACCACCCAGTCTTGTCGGAAGCTCTAGCACAGATCTTTCAATGTCTCTTGGTGATACTGTACCAGTTAATTTCGGCGAAACCTGCGTTCTGATTTTGTTTTCGTGTTTGGTGAAATCTCCCTAAATTTCATCTTGGCTGCAGTCGATCATCGTTCCACTTCTGAATGAAGCTATGTGTAGACGCTGCAAAATCACAGTGTGTCAGCGTCTCACCGATGTGAGATAAACTCTCAGATTCACATGTCTATCCATCTGATTTTTTGAGAAAATGTTGCTCAACGAACAACTTTTTGCTGCAATCGGGCACTCCAAATTTTGTGTCCCTCTGTTAAAATCCTTATACCACTTCCAGAGAAAACCCGCTC